ATTATCTAATAAATCAAATATAATTTGATAAAGTTTATTTTTTGTGATTAGTTTAGGTTTAATTTCTAATGTAATTTTTAGACGATAAATAATTAAAGTTCTAATAACTTTCATATTAGATCTTTCTAAAATTGATTGTATAATTTCTACATCAACAGATGAACATATTGCAGTTAAAGCTAAAATAAGAACCATTGAAAAGTCACATTTTAAAGTTTCTAATTTTTTCTATGCGTCCCTATTAAAAATTTATAAATTACAATTTTTTTTTTTAATTTCTTATAATTTTGTTACTTACTGAAATCCTTCATAAGAAACTATGTAATATGCTTCATCTATAACAAACTGGGAGCCTTGACTATTATAAACCTTTTGTAACATAATACAAAATTGAAAATTTTTTATATATTTTTCTGGAATAACAAATAATATGTGACATAATCCGCTTGCAATTTCAGCAAAAAATTTTTTTTTGTATTAGAAATAATTGTTTTGAAGAAGCATATAACATTACTACCGGTATTTCCATTCCTACTATTTCTCGCTTTTTTAAATTTTTAAAAAAAAATCAATAAAACAATCATATTTAATTTATTATTAAAAACAAATTATAACTTACTACTTGATCATTCATCAATGCTTTTTGAGAAATAAATATTACAGTTAATCCCTGTAATAGTATACTTGCAACTACATATATCAAACTCTTTTCTCATCAGTCTTTAATATAGTTAATGTGTCTTGATTGGATAAAAAAGATAATATACTTTCACATTACTTTTCACAATATCTTTCAAATCCAAAAAATTCAGTAATAATACTGTCTATTATACTATCTTTCAAAATTGATTCAGAAGTTGATTATTCATGATATTGCGTGTTTGGTATATAGTTAGACAAATTATGTTTTTTTTAAATAATCACATAATACACATAATCTATTGATATATTTTTTTAAAAAGATTGATAAGCTATACATTTGAGAGATGATGATTTGAATGCAGCTATTAACGAAGCAAAGATAGTTCAAATTTATTTTCAATAAGCTCTTCTTGAATTCGCAAACCATATGAAACCAAATCCTATATAATTTAATAAAGATTTCAAATTAAAATATAACTATTATACAAATTATAATAAATAATACCTGAGAGAAATCAAAACTTTCTAATCATTTTTTTTGATCAATAATTTTTTCAACCTGTTTTTGTTACGCATTTCAATTGCCATTAGATTACTTTTTCTTTTTTGCTCCTTTTGTTTCCAAATTTTAAATAGGTTTTTTCATTCTGATCAGAAAAACTTGCTAAATTACCCGCTATACGAACTTTATGTTGGAGCTCTATAAAACCATTATTATTATGAATAATTGAAAGCACATAATGAGCTTGAAAAGACTTAGGATAATTGATTTTTTTTTCTGTATAATTCAATTTCAAATGATTAAATACTTCATTATAACTGGTATATATTGTCATTATTAAACTTTAATTCTCTCTAAGTTTTGTTATTTTTTTAAGAAATTCTAATAGTTGTATATATTGATTATCATCTGTACTAACTAAATTAGAAGTTGATAAGCTCAAATCAGGATTATTTACAATCCAACAAACTTTTGGCCAATATTTTGTATGATTTCCTTGCAAATAATAAATTACACTCTCAATATGCATTCATGCTAATTCCTTGTTGGTTGGAGTTAGAAATTCTGAATTATTAGCTCTGACAGAAGCCGCATAAACACATCTTATGTAATATTTCATAATTGGTTATTTAAGATGTTTCCAATTACGATCTGATGCTATTAACATTAAATAAATAAATTATATTAATTACATGTAATAAATAATTCTAAATTAAATACTTTAATACCTACTTATCTTTGATTGCACAATTTTTGCTTTATATTTCAAGTTTGCAAATATTTAGTTGATTACATTTAACAAAGCCAAAGTTTTATTTGTAGAAAGGTCTCCATTAATACCAATATTTAATTTGATATTATATTTTTCTAGTATTGTTGAAATCTTTTCAATTATGACAATTAATATAGCATGTTTCATCTGTTGTGAGCTACTATCATAATTATCCTCTTGAATAGTAATACATTTTTCATCTTTAATTTCATATTCACGTTTTTTTAACTATATGATAAGCTAGAACTAGATGATGTTTATAACCTAAACCTGATATTGAATTTAAAATAAATATTATCTTTATTATTATACAATAGCATTTTATACATTCAATTTTTTTTTTGAAAAAATATATATATATATAAAATAAATTATTATAAACTAACTATTAAATATATAGCTAACCTTCTAATTCTCTATTAAAGATAATTTCTCCACTAGCCTGTGAAGCTTCGCGTACATGGCTCTATGCATAATTGAATGATACTTTTAATATGTCTTGATTAATACTTTGAAGTTTTTCACATGCCACCACCAAAGCATCTTCAGCACTAATATTTGCTATTTGATATAAACTTGAAAAAAATTCTTCTTGTTTATCAAAATATTGCTGATGTTTATTTTGTCTTGTAATTCCTAATAATGCTAATATAGATTGCAATTCTTCTCTATTAATGCCTCCAACTAAACCAGCACCTGCTAGGCATTTAGAGAAATCATCTCTTGATCTTTTATTACAATATTCTGACTCATCAGAATATAGTATACATTTCTTAGTAACATAAATTTCCAATTCAATAGTTCTGATCTTAGTTTTGCGGTTTAAAGGATTTATATCATGACAAGTGACATATGGTTAATTTAAAATTAATTCTAAAAAGATATTGATACTAATAAGAATGGTAGAACCTAATTGTCCTTTTTAAACAAGTTTTTGAATTTTTGACTCTGATTTATCATCATTTTCATCATTTTCTTCTTCACTAAAAATAGAATAAAATTTTTTTATACAGTATTAAAATATATATCAAGTTTAAGAATGATAAAAATTTATAAATCAAAACAAACCTTAGAAAGTCAGATTCATTCTCTTTTTGAATTTTTAGTTTATAAATGGTATTTAGTGATCAATATAGGTATTTTTTAGTTACTTTTAATTCATTTTTCGTTTTATGCACTCAGTTTTGCGATTCCATTAATTTTATATCTAAAGCTTGTACTATCTCATTTGATTCTTGCCATCCGTCAGTTACAATAGGTAATCCCTCTCTGATAATTCCTTTATTGTGAGTATCCTCAAAATATAAATCCTCTTGCAATTTTTTAACCTTTCGTTTTACTTGTTTAAGAATATTATCACGCTGATAATCAATATGAAATAATGTTCTTTTTAATTGAAAGAAGCTTGGAATATGTTGTGAAATAAACCCTCTAAGCCATTCTACATTTTCTTTATAAGTTAACTCTAATAAAAATAGTACTGATATTGTTTCAGAGTATTTGATATGTGGAGTATTTTTAATATACGATCGTAAACTAGATAGATTATCAGATGCCATATGCTATTATTGTACATTTGTAAAAGTATAATCATTTGCAAAATCATTCCATTTGTACAAAATGGTATTTTCTTTATTACATTACTCTAAATTTAATCTAAAATATGTTTTTCCAATTTTGTATAAATACGGTAACTGAGAATTAAAGGTACAAAAACTTTATTATTAAAATCATTTTCTATTCTAACCAATTTGAGTAGTAAATAAACATTATTTGTGTTATTCATATTAGTTTTATTAGGAAGAGTTGAATGTTGTGGTAGAATTCGTAAAAAATTAGCATTCTTCCAAATAAAAATAGTTCAACTGGATTTAGAATACTTGCAACGTTTATTATTTGCTTCTAAGAGATACTTGGTCCACTTATTATCATTTTATTATAAAATAATATATAACTATTAGTAATCTAAAAATAGAACATAGCATATTCGCATAGAAAAGCAAGAGTGCATATAGTAACCTTCAAAATTAAAGTCTTACCATTATATCACGATATAAGTAAAGTTGTAAAGTGTTAAGTTGAGCTGTTTATCTCTGAGTTTGGCAGAGTAAAAGCATAAACTGAGCTAGTTAGGTGAGATAATGAGCACTTTGAAGGTGTAATTAACATCCTATAGCTAAACTTCTTCTTTATTAAAACTTTGTAAAAAACAAATGGAAACTGAAATATGTAACTTGTAAAAGCGAAAAAAACCACTGAAAATTTTTTTTTTTTTTAAAGCAAATTAATTTATTGGTTATTAACTTAGCCTTATCACACTTTTTTTTAATTATATAAAATTAACTTGAATGATGATCAGCATATATATAATATATATGTAACCGTTGATCAAAAGACCTACCCTTATAAATATGATTAAAGATTTTTAAATAAATACTTTAATAATAGAAATAAATACTACTGTTATAGTAGCATTAGAAAAATTAAAAAAATATTATCGTCATGCAAATTCTAATGCTTATCCTATTATTACTAATAAGTTTTATTTATTTTATTTATTAATTTTAATTTATAGATTATTAATTTATTATTATTTATTTATAGTACTTGATCCACAATTAAAATTATCATATTATATTGATAATCATTAAAAAGTAAATTTTATTGAAAAATCACGTGAAATTTTTACTTCTTATTTCAATATGCATTATGCATTATTGATAATAGATTTAGAAAATTCAAATGAAAGTTCTGAAGAAGAAGATGATTTATTAAATCATATATATAAAAGATAATATGTAAAAAATACAGTTGTACCTCCATATAGTCACACAGTTAAGCGTATATAAAATGTGTGCTTATATAGAGGTATGACTATATATTGAATCCCTTTATATAGTCACACTGTAAGTAATTTTATAACATTGTGATTAAATAGAGGTATATTATAAAATTATTTTAATAATAATATTAAGTGTATTTATTTTATTATAATGTAAAATTAAAGTTATATTATATTTGTAAAGTAGAAAAAAAAATTATTAAAAATATTATTAATTAAAAAAAACTAGTAATATCTTTTTGTGTTTTGCTTTCAAAAATTTTTGTTATATAATTTTCATATGTTTTCTAAAAATTTGTATATCTTTTATATCAATCTCCTCATTTTCCTGTTCTTCTAAATATTATAACTATATTTTAAGACTATTAAAAGCTTTATTTATTGATATTATATGATGTTTTTGATTAATTTCATCATTTAATTTAATTTTATCATGCTCTTTCAAAATAAATCGTACAATTTCAGCATCTGATAATGGTACTTCCATTGGAGTTGTTAAATTAATAATCTCTAAATATTGATTAATATCAATTTTTAAAGATTTATTCATATTAGTTTGTAAAAGAGCTTCAATAGCTTGTTGATTTTTTTGATTTGATATTTCTTCTGCTATTAAAGCTTGTTGTATATTATCATTATTAACTATTGGTAAAATACCAGTTTTACGTTAATAATTAATAATAGTTTCTACTTTTACTAAATTTTAAGCTTATACAACATACTCTATAGCTTCTTTAATATTGATTTTATTCCTATATAATATTAAATTTATAAGAATTATATATATATAAAATAAAATAAAAATTAATTTAAATACTTAACTTATTTAAATCTACATTTGTATCAAATTGATAAATGATATGCTGAATATAATATTGTTTATAAATAGCTTTAAACCTATTAATAATTTCTGCATCCATATGTTGTAAATGAGCTATTGTATTAGGTAGAAGAAATTTTATCCTAATATATGATAAAACTAAATTATCTTGTTCATTTTTATCAGGATTAAAATGAGATGATGCATTATCTATAAGTAATAAAATTTTTTGATTTTCTATTCTAAATTTATTATTAATAGATTTAAGTCATTCTTCAAAAATATTACTTTGCATCCATACTTTTAGATTAGCATAATACATATATAGAAGTATGTTACAATTAATTCAATAAAGACATCTAGGATTCTTTGAAGAACTAATTACAAGAGGTTTAAGTTTTTCTATACCAGTAGCATTTATAGCTAAAAAAATAGTAATACAGGATTTATTCTAAAAAAAACTTAATTTTATTATTTTTTTCTTATAAAAAATAAAATTAATTTATTATTTACTTACTCATTTTATATCTGAAGTAGGAGTAGATGCCAGAGTTTAGTTAGGTGTTATGCAAAAGAAAAGCCCTGTTTTATCTGCATTAAATATATTTTCAAATGGATAATCTTTTAAAACTTCTTGCAATTTATTTCTTTCTTTAGAAAGAGTTTCTAATAGTATACTATTTGCTTCACCATGTAAGTGATATTTACGAATATTATTGCGCCTTTTAAATTTTTGTATCTAACCATTTAAAAAAGATATATTTTCATGCGGAATATTAAATTGTTGTGCAAAAAAAACCTTTTCTTTAATTATCATCTCTAAAATCACAAGATTATTAGCATTTGCATTTTCTACCTATAATTCTAATGCTTCTTCAATTTGTGAATATTTAACTTATTTATGACGAAAAGTTTTTATATTATTTTGTGATAGAAGAATTGCAAGCCATTTTTCTTTTTTTTTAATGATTTTGAAAATTGTTGATCTATTGACATCCAAGTTTTTATTTTGTTCATTAAAATAGCTAGTAATTTATTATTGTATTCTATTTTATTGAGCAGACGGCATTTTAGAAAAACAAAAAAAAAGAAATTTTTGAACATGTAAGATGATAAGAACATGAAAAAGATAAGGTTTTTAAACACGCAAAAAAAGGAACGCATTTATTGATCATTTTTAATTTATTGCATAATAATCAAAAATCAACTAAATACTACATTATTGTGAATACTAATGAAAGAATTTTTTTTAAAAAAAAAATAAAAATTTGGTTTTTTTTTTTAAAAAATTTTTTTTTTATAAGTTATACTAAAATCTTTGCAAAACAAATAAAAATGTATCTTGATTAATACTTTGTTATATAAATTATATCATTATACATATATATTAAAAATTATTATTACACTATCTTAAAAATCAAAAAAAAAATAGAAGCTCCATAAAGTTTTCTTTAATATAATACTTATTTTAAAAATTAAAATTAACAAGAAAAAGTCAATTTCATTTCTAAAAATTTGAAAAGAAATTAAAAAAAGTATAGAAAACCCAATAAAATCTTTTCTAATATAACACTTATCTTAAAAATCTAAAAGAGCTGATTCTATTCCTAAAAATTTAAAAAAAAAAGTTAAAAAAACCTCTAATAAAACCTTCTTTAGCATAATGCTTATTCCAAAAACCTAAGTTAATAAGAGAAAGCCAATTCTATTTTTAAAGATTTAAAAAGAAGTTAAAAAAAGTGAAAAAAAAATCTAATAAAACCTTTCCCAATACAACACTTATCTTAAAAACAAAAAAAAATTAATTCCATTGTCAAACATCTCTCACCACATTTTTAAATTAATGGGAGAACCAAATTCCTAAAAATGTAGAAAGTTTAAAAATAATGCATAATAAATAAATCTAATAAAATATTTAATTTAGAAATCA